CCAGTTCGGTTTTGGTATGGATGATGCATTGGAAATTCTAATGATGCATTGGAAGATTCTCCAGAATAAAGATGCAATGACAGCACTTTGATATTCTCATGGTTAAGGTTTAGTGATCTTTTATGTCAACAGAATTATAACATTTTTTTTTCTTGCTGAGCCTGATCTTAATTGAATAACCTTTTGTCAAGAAGTTTACAGTAACCGAAGTCTATTTGTTTTGGAAAGCTTGTTTCTCACAAGAAGGTTGGTGTTTGGATTTCCCTGCTTTGCTTATAGGACGTTACGTGAGTCAGCCCATCCCAGACACTATTGTTATGTGTCCTGTTTGTCAAATGCGAGTCAAAAATTGATGCGTTGATGAAGAGCAGCATAACAAGAGAGAAGCCACAAACCAGACGGACAATAATTACTCTTAATTCCCTGCAAGATCTTCACCATCAGCTAAAATCCCTAAGGGCTTAGTGGGTTTGGAACAAAATGAGGCACTCCTTGCAGACATTTAAAAGTAACAATACTAATTATTACATACAAATAGTGATATACAGCCCAAGCATTTCCAAAGATTCTTGAAGGGCTTTTTGTCATTTACTGCCCTGTAATGATGACCACAATCTCCTGAGTTAAATCTGGGAGTTTAAAATGACCTTACGTCAGTCCTGTCATTTCATTACTTGTAGGAACAAGAGAAAAAATACCATAAATCATAAAACAAATAACTGGTTCTTGATTATTTAAAAGAAGGACATTTTTTGAGCTTCCCTTAATTTGAACATGGGGTTTTGGTGTAGTCATGGTCACTGGCTGCCTCTTGTGGCCAGAGATAATTGTCTCTTGTGAATCTGAAGATGACTTGAAAGGGCTAATGTGCACATTGTGCATTTTCTGGCAGGCTGATCTGTCTCTGGGGACTCTATCAGATGTGGTCATGATGATCTCTCTTAGACACTTACACTTTATTTCCTTGTTCTGACATTTTTGGGGTTTCAAAGAGCTGGGTTCTTTCACTGATATTCTTCCTCCATCTGACTGGGTCAAGGAATGTCCCAACATCTGATATCAGTAATGCTTTTAAAAGCTTCTTGTTTGGTGTGATTGTCTTGGCTAAATTGGAAGTATTCTTTGGAAACGTGGAATCTGACTTCCAGATGATCCAGAAATGATTAAACTAATGGAGGTGATGGAGGATGATTACAGCTTCAAACCCTGTGTCTATCATTCTATTTGATACATCAAATCTTCCTCTTGTGGTCAGAAGTAATTGTCTTTCATGAACCTGAAGGTGACAAGTAAGGCCAATGAAATAAATTCAGAAAGGTTCAGAGTCACTTGGGATTAAACAATTTACTGTCCATTAATTAAGTTATCTCCCCTCCATAAGGGAACATGTCTGTTGCGAGATGGACTATAGAACTCAGAAATATTGAAAATAGGATGCGGGTGTTAACACATCCTTGTTTGTCTTTTGTCCAATCTTCAAAGGGCTTGACCAATTCTCTCATTTTGCTGAATTACAAATCCTACATTGAAATTTAGTTATCTGTGATATTTTTATTTCTAAGCACTGAAACTCAAAATTATTTCAATGTGACATAGTTTTATGTTAGAAAAAAACTGAAATATGCTGTTTGCAATCCCTGTGTTGCGGAAGTTCTAAGTTTACACAGGTGAAAAACAATTCCCCTAACGAGGACATAATTGCCTTACAATTGGCCTCTACCTGTGAATCATTAAAATAACTGCCACATTTTCTGGATAAAAACCACACAGCTAAGGGATCATTATCCAGGTTGTGAATCTGATGGACAGCTGTGAAAATGAAGACTAAAGAGCATTCCAAAGAAGTTAACGATAAAGTAAAACAAATGCATAAATTAGCAAAAGGGTACAAAACAATATCCAAATGTTTGGATGTCCCATTGGGCACTTTTCATTCAATTATCAGGAATTGGAAGCTACATCAAACCACCCAGAGTTGTCCCTTAAAACTCACTATACAAACAACAAGGAGACTTGTGAGAGAAGCCATAGAGAGGCAACGATCACTTTGAAGGAGCTACAGAGTTCAGCAGCTGAGAACGGAGTAAAGGTGCACCAATCAACCATCTCAATAGCTCTGCATAACACTGGCCTATATGGGAGGGTGGCACAAAATGATATGTGTGGTGCAAATCCAACACCGCCCACACCTCAGAAAACACCATCCCTACAGTGAAGTATGGCGGTGGTGGCATCATGCTGTGGGGCTGTTTTTCCTCAGCGGGGACTGGGCATCTTGTTAAAATAGAAGGAAGAACGGATGGTGCAAAATACAGGGAAATACTGCAAGAGAACCTGTTTCAGTCTGCTAAAAAACTGAGGCCTGGGAGAAAGTTCATCTTTCAGCAGGACAATGATCCCAAACACAAGGCCAAAGTAACACTGGAGTGGCTCAAGAACAAAAAGGTGAATGTCCTACAATGGCCCAGTCGAAGCCCTGATCTCAATGCAATTGAGAACCTGTGGCACTATTTGAAAATTGTGGTGCACAAACGTGATCCGACTAACCTGAACAACCTAGAGCAAATCTGCCTGGAAGAATGGGCCAGAATCACTCCTGAACAGTGTGCAAAGCTGGTGCATACTCACCCCAAAACACTTAAAGCTTTTATTGCTTCAAAAAGTGGCTCTACAAAATCTTAAAGGGCTTGAATACTTATGCAAACAGCATATTTCAATTTTTAAACGTTTCTTAAGAATATTGTAGAATAATGTATGATTTGTAATTCAGTAAAATGAGAGAATTGGTCTGAATACTTTTGCAAGTCACTGTAAATGCAGCATCACAGCTCTTTAACATCCAAATGTCAAGTACGTAAGTAAAACACAAGCAACAGAAAGAAAAATATTTTTTTAAAGGAGTTATTGCTGCAGAACATCAATGACCATTGCATAATGAAGTGGACTTTGGTACTACTGTTCAAAAACACCCTTATGCCATCAAATAGCTCCCTAGTGCCTAGGGACTGTATCCCTGCATGAGGTTTATAAATAAAACTTTATTCCACTTTCTGTCCGAGCAATAAATTTCCATGTGGCTTTTCTTTGGCTTTTCTTTGATAAAATTGGCATTGCTTGATATGTGATTGGCTGTCTTGGCTCAGGAGCTGTAGGGTAAAGTACATAATTTCTTATTTTCCCCAGAGAGTCACAAAAACATGGACCACAGTTCGCAAACAATGCAGATGTGCATTAAGCAAGATGAAGCTGTAAATCGGCCCTCGAGTACAATAAGCATAAGATACGAAGCTGTCATACTTTGTCGGTAGAAATTACAAAAGATTTGGTGCAGTTTCAAGATTTGATATTAGTATTGTAGAAGATGAACAAAATAATGGTGTCAATCAAGAGGAGGCCAATTGACCCATCCAGCCTTTCTGGAAGTTAGTAGCTTATTGATCCAAGGATTTCATCCAGCCCTTTCCTGAAAGAAGCTGGATTACTGGCTTCCACAACATGGCTGGGAAGCTTGTTCCACACTAGAGCTGCTTGGCCTCGGTTTAAAATGCACTGATTTCCACCTTTGTCCTCTGATTTATGTTTCACTGTTCACCAGGAAGAGATCCTCTGATTCAGTTTGTCAGTGCCTTTGGGGATTTTGAATCCTTGTATCAGGTCCCTTCATAGTCTTCTCTGTTCAAGACTCAAAAGATTCGGAGTGATTCTACAACGTGGTGGCCAGAATGGTATACAGTATTATTACTGGTACATTTTACAATTTTAACAACGTGCATCCATTTCCTAACCCCAGTTTTCACAGAATGCCTTTGGACTGTGGGGGGAAACCAGAGCACCTGGAGGAAACCTCCATGAACACAGGGAGAACATACAAACTCAACACAGATAGCACCCAGGAGTTGAATCCAGGGCTCCAACACCGTGAGGCAGCAATAATACTGAGCCACTGTGCCGCGCAACACAACACCCCTTGATTTACAATTCTGCACTTTTGACTATATATCGAATATCCTAATTTCTTGCCATTTTTATTGCTGACATTAATACCTACAGTCTTTTTCATAAGTTGCCTCTCCTACCTCAGTGTTTCTAATTTTTTATTTATAGTTTGTTTTTATTATCTGCACGCAACACACTGCAGCTGTCAAAATTAAATGCCATCTGTGACAGGTTTGACCAGTCTTCAATTTTATATCATTCCTACTTCTATGGTTAGCTAACCCTACCAATTTGGCATCAGCTAGAAGCTTAAATAAATATAGTTTGATAACCATCCCAGGATCTATATCATTGATATAAACTGGAAAAAGCAGTGGTACTAGTACAGACCCCTGTGGTACTCCATTAACAGCATCACCATCACAACATTTACGCCTTATCTGCACTCTAGTATCTGTTAATTAACCATGCATTTCCTTGATTGCTTACGACCTATAATTGGACAATTAATCTGTTATTAGGAGTTGTATCAAAAGCCATTTAAAGACCTACATACTACATATCATATGCCCTGTGTGCATCCATTACTGTTGTTACTTGTTCAAAGGACTCTAAATCATTTGTTAGAGAAGACCTTAGTACCTTTTCTAAATCCATGTATTCCCTAAGATATTATCTGTATATACAGTAGGTGACCTTCTAGTTTCGTTATACCCAGGTAGTCCTCGACTTACAACGTATGCGACTTACGACCACTCGCGCTTACGACGGCCGTCCCCTTAATCGTATTACTGTACAGTACTGTATATTATTTTCGTGTCCCGGCGTTTGGTTGTAACGTCTAACATTGATGACATCATCAGCCTGCGCGATACCGTGCTGCCGTATGTTATTGTTTACTCATCCAAGATGCACCTGCTTGCTGCAGGGAGATTTACAGTGAAAAGAAAAGGCAAACTCCGCAGTCTAAATTGGACACATTTTTGAAGAAGCCCAGCACTGCTGTCTACTCACCCCCTGTAGGTGATCCAACTCCTGAAGGACATGATGTTGATCCACCATCACAAGCCTTCTCTTCTGCTTCATCCAATTTAGCTTCATTAAAAATTTCACTCGTGTCCAGTGTGATTCAGCTGACTACATTAACGGTAAGTGCATAGCAGCGCTTTTTTACTCATTTTTCATTATTGACGTTTACTGTGTTCCATTTTATATCTACATTGCATTATTTTACCATGAGTAAAGATTAAAATTAGTGATGTTTTTAAAACAAATCCGTATTACACAATGTAGTATTTATACATGTTAATAATTTACGCATCCATATGGTTCTTGTAGTATCGCGATAAACGCGATCTCGATTTACGAATCCGTATGGTTCGTGTAGTATCGCGATACAGGCGATCGCGATTTTCGACTTACGACGGAATCGACTTAAGACGGGGTGAGCTTCAGAGGACTACTTGGGTAATGTTTGCTTACATAACGTAATGAAATACGAGTCTATAGTTACTTGGGTAAGTATTGTCATCTTTCTTGTGGACTGGCAAAATTTTCTGTTCCATAGGTGATACCCCTACCTTGAAGAACATTTGAATAAATGCATCAGTTACTTTGTGAAATCTCTTGTATGAAAGCAGTTTACCCAGTCTTCCCGAGTTGTTCGTTCCAGGGAAGGTATGCCACCCCATTTACATTTCTTATTGTAAAAAACATAATTCATTAAACTAGCTGTAGATTTATAGGTGTAAATTTGTCCTGCATTTAAGTGCAACACCCTTGGAATAGTATTTGAGCACTAATAAAATACTCTTTTATCAGAAATAAGACTAAATGGGACTATTTCCTACCATTAGGAAGAATTTAATCAGACAAACAAATCATATTAATTTACGCTATAAGAGCACAGTATGTTCAACCAATTATCATTTGATATAAAATCTTTTGAAATGTGAATCAAACACTACTACTACAGTATTAATACTACTATAAATAGTATTAGTAGCAACAGTATAATATCACTGTCAGCATTTACCACACTGCAGATTTGAGGTGACCCAGTCCAGAGGGTGATATCTACTTCTAATTGCTAAGAAAACATATTTAGGTGTTTTTCTAGAGCATTTTGAGATTCCTTATCAGGCGGTCATCACAGGATATTGTGGAGTAAGCAGAATGTGTCATTCGGGGGACTAACCTCAGCCAATCAATGCCAATGCAAGGCCTTGACCAGGCTGACACAGGTCCTTATCACACAGGGAGGGAGGTGATTGGAGGCTGTAGCCTGTGGCAGCAGTAGCAGATTGCCCAGAGCCAAGCCTGAGAGATAAAGAATCTGGTTTGGCATTTAGAGTGAATATGTGTTACCTAACAAAATTTTGTCCATAACAGGTACTGATTAATACTGTATTTATTAGTGACTCCAGAGGCTTACAGCATAATACATACAGATTTGTGTTCCTACCAGTTTTCGTTAGGGGGCAGTGTAGAGCAGTGTTCAGGGCTCTACATCCTCAGCGTTTCTATAGAGCTCTGCAGTCTACCCACCTGAGACACATGAGTGCCAATCTTGAAGGTGGTGATCCACATACAGACCAGACATCTACCCAGGATAAATCCACTAACTCTCAGTCCCCTTATCAGGTCTGGCTTGTTGAATCTGACTTGAGGCTCCAGTGTGGATTTTATTTTTACTACCACTTTCCTTGAGTCAAGATACAATTGATTGATGAATTTGTTGGATTGATGAGCAGAACCAAAGCAAAAACCCAAGAAAAAAGGAATAAAAACATTACAGGGTATTATGGATGAGGTACACTACTTCTTAAAACAATGTAAGTTTTACCAGGTCTAACTGGTTTGGCATTATACCTTACTTGTGATAATAATGGGAGCTTTTACTCACTCAGGGAACTGTTTGAGACTTTGAAGTGGGCTTTTATAATGACTTTCCCATGTATTATTTTTTGTCCTTTTTATTGTACTTTTGTTCCGCTCATTTTCCTGGAACTGGCTGACCGTTGGTTCAGTCAGAGGCAGGAGGACGAGCGAAGCTTCTGGAAAAGTCCCAGTGGACGTCACGCTGTACGCGATGTGAGGGCAGACGAGAGACTGGGGAGAAGCTGTACAGTGTGTTTATTGTGCTGACTGGGCCCGATTTGCCCGTGCCATGGTGTGCTCTGTCCCCTTCGGTCCAGAGGAAGTTCAAATGCAATATATATACAGAGGACCACCCCCTTGTGTGAATTGTGTCTGTGTATAACACAAATACCATCTGGCTTGTCCCGGCGACTGCACTCTGGCAGAGATTCGACTTTGTCAAAATGAATCTGAGCAAAGGGTGTCATTAGGCTGGGGTCCAAGAACAATGGCCCATTTTGACCCGTGTTTATTGCCCTTAAGAACATCCCATTGGTCGGAAATCCTACAACTAGCCTGTCGATTGTGCCAGCAATCTGGAAGCACCTCCATAGCCAAGCATGTATGGTACCATAGACATTTTTGGCATCTGCTCAGCTGGAATTTAGCCCTGCTTTAACCTGAAGTGGCCTTTGGACTAGAATAAACAGTGTTTCACATCTGACAATGCAGTTTTAATATCCTTTAACTCTGCATGTTCATCCTGTGCCAAAGATATGGACAGATCTCGCTAATTCTTCTGTATATCCACCTTCACCCTGACTCTCTCCTGTTCAATCATTCAGTTCAGTCAGAGTAAGAGTTTAATTTACAAATCTGGAGAGAGCAGGTGAGAACTTTGGTTAAGATTTTTTCTCAATCTATGAATTGGCTACATTACTCTGCTCTCCTCCCCACTGATAGCTGATGTGTGGAGAGTGTTCTGGCGCACTATGGCTGCCGTCGCATCATCCAGGTGGATGCTGCACATTGGTGGTGGTGGAGGGGAGTCCCCATTACTTGTAAAGGGCTTTGAGTGGAGTTTCCAGAAAAAGCGCTATATAAGTGTAAGCAATTATTATTATTATTATTATTATTATTAATTAAACTCATCAGATTTTCTTCAGTCCAGTTGCTGTTGCAAGCCTGCTCACATTGTATAAATAGGCTGGGACATGTGGTTTCATATCAGGTAGAACTCATCTAAATTCCTGGAAAAATGCAAGAAATTGCCATTTACAAAGAACAATAATGTAAATGAAGGTTATGAACAGTATGTAAGCTATTTATTGCCAGTTAAATATTATAGGTATGCTTTAAAAACTTGCAATAAGTGTAGCATGCTAAAGTGTGAATAGCAAAGCTTTCTGTTAACTTTGAGTTCCATGTCTCAAGAGAAAATATAGTGAAAAGATCAGAACACTTTGGCAACAAAAGAGAATTACATTACACATTTCCAGTTCAGTACTTTGACAATTGTTTGACAATTGGTCTAGTGGACTTAGGAAAGTGCTAATTTAGAAAACAAAACACAGCAAATAGAAAAACATTGTGACAGTGAGAAATGACCGGAGGATTAGCCTCCAATTTTTATTCAGTAAATCTTCATTTCATTCCCTTTCTAACTACAGTCCTACTGCTATCAAATGCAGAACAAATTATCTCAGCTTTCTCTTCCATTGACCTCTGAAAATGAGTTTACATGATGTAATATCACTCTGTATAAAGAGATTTGTTCAAGAGACTGTGGTTAACTCTTGGGGAGACAGGTTTTCACCAAGTTGAACCTTGAGGAAGGGAGACGGTACAGGACTCCCCTACTACATAGATGGCATGAAGGATTGTTCTGCTGGCCTAGGGGAGGCTGGCAGTGAACTTTCATCTTGGCAACATTCAAGGACAGGCCAATTCTCTTTCACAAAGTATTGAAGAAATCTGGCATCACTCTGCAGAGCTCTGAAGGCTGTGGTTGATGAAGACGACACAGAAGTATTCGGGACAAGGTCATGGACAAGAGGGAGCTCCCACAGTCAGATTCCTCCTTTTTCTTGTAAACGGTCATGATGGTCACGCTCCTTCCCAGGGAAGTCCTTTTCGTCCTGGATGTGGAAGATGAGCTAGAGAAGTAGTGATTTGTGACAGGTGGCCTGCACGGTCGGCCTCTTAGACTGTCTTTCATGTGACTTCTCTACCCAGTTGCTGTTGTTGAGATCGGTGATCATTTTCTTTTAGCCAAAGCATTCCCCTGCCTACTCTGCCCCTGGGGACTTTTTGGACTCCTCTTTCTCTGGAACCTCCACCTCAGCATTAACCCCAAGAATGAAACTGCCAGGAGCATATTAGAAAATACTGTGGAAGCTTCTGCTGAGAAGAGCATCACAGCTGTGTGTTCTGCATTGCACTCTTCTGTTCAGAACGTCCATTATCTTGCATCAGTACTCTAACACCAGACTCCTAACTTTGTCCCCTTGAGCTATTTAAGAGAACAGTCCCAATATCCCACAGAAAGTGATTCAAGACCACATGGAGCATTTTAATTAATTTTTAAATGTGCACCTAACTCTGGGTCTCTATGAGAGCCTGTATGTCTCCCTGTGACTGATTTAGATTTTTATTTCTTTCTGCGACAATTACTTTTCTGTCACCGGCCTGTTTTTCTCTTCTGTAAGGCTTGTGCAGCGTTGCTGATGAACCATCTCCTCATATAGTTATAATACTTTCAAAGATAGTTTGCTGACACAATTGGTTGGCATGACAAATAAGCAAGACAGATACATTGTAAAAACACATAAATAACATCTTCTGTATTTGTCCATTGTAGTGTTTGGAATTTCACTAAATGCTCATTTTTGTTATTGCCAAACATCTGCACTGTGAGAAGTCCTTAAGATGCCTGTGTGTTATTTAAAACATCCCCTCCTTGTGCTACCCTACACTAAAAGCTTGGCTATCACATTGCTGAGAGGGCATATTTATTCCTTGTGCTCACATGCTTCAGTTCAAGAGGACACCCTTGAATCTAATAAAGCAAGACATTGTTCAGATGGTTTGCTTAGCCTTGCCAACTTTTGGAATGCTATTAAACATCAGGCACATTATCATCCCTACTGTTCCTTACAGAGTGACAAGCGTGTCTGGGAGCTGAGTCACAGTTACCACTGGACTGGTAGAACAGCTCATGCAAAACACCCAGCAAGAATAAAAATGACACAATTTGTGATTTAAATAGAACAGATTAAATAAATCTGTC